TCGGCGCTGGCCAGGCCCGGGCGCGCGGCTCGGCGAGCTCGGGTGCCCGCCGCGTCCTCCGCTCGCCGCCGGGCCTCTGGTCCTGAGCTCGCTGCGTTCCTTCCTCAGGTCCCGCCGGACTCACTTCAGTGTCCTTAGTCCCCGGGCCAGCGGTGAGCAGGACCCGGATGACGTTCACCTGGCGGCCCGGAGCCCCGAGTGACCGAAGGCAAGTCTCCTGGTAGTTATTCTTCCGCTGTTTGTCTGTTTATTTGCCGGAGTAAACTGGCCGCTTGTGCGTGGAGATGTGTATTATCCCTGATGATTTCCTTCCTAGTTAGCTTTAGGCAGAAGAAAGTGTAGACACCAGACGGCGGTGGCGCATGCTTTTAATCCCAGCACTTGAGAGGCAGACGGAGTTCAAGGCCAGCCTGGTCTACCGAGTGAGTTCAAAGATAGCCAGGGCTACAAAAAGAAACCCTGTCTCGAAAAACAGAAACGAAAAACAAAACCCCCCAAAAAGTATATAAATTTAATTTTGGGAAGTGACTGGGAAGAGACACTCTAAAATTCCCCGTGCATCCCAGATTTCGACACTGCAACCATTTCTGTGTGCTTCAAAAAGGGGAGGAGGGACATGTGTTCATGCATGCCTGAACCTCTTGTTTGTTAGATGGAATCAGGAGCCCTAGAGTATTCCTTTCAAGTTAAAAAAAAACAATCAACATCAAAACACCTTTTCTAAAAGCAAGCTTTCATTAATGTTTTTTTTAAAATTGCAACTTTTTTAAAGTTCGTTATGATGATGATGATGATGATGATGATGAAGACGACGACGACAGGGTGTCACCATGTATCCAAGACTGGTAGCCCAGGTTAGCTTCCTGCCTTTTGAGTGTTTGGATTACAGAGATTACAGGCATCTGCCAGCATGCCTGGTTGCGATTTTTAATCCACTTTATTTATTTATTTAGGAACAGTTGTAGAGTTACAGGAAAATTGAGAAAACAGTCCGTAGAGTTCTGTATGACCCCAAACTGATTCCCCTTTTATTAACATCTTACACATTATTATTGGTCAGAGTCCACTGTGTATTTATTTACATTTCCTTTTTCCCCCAAATACTTGGGCCTCCATATTCTCATCTAGGTGACTGCATTGCATTTTGTTGGCTGTGACAAGTTGTTAGTTTTTGTTTATGTGAACTTTCAAAGTTTTGAGAAATATTAGTGTAATGGAAGTCTCAGGTTCTTAGCCCACAGAGAAAAGGCTTATTTTGACTCACGGGTTTGGAGGTTGCAGGCCGTGATCCATTGGTGTCTGAAGATCCTGGCCTGTGTAGGCCTGCACGGTGGAACCACCCTGCTCAGAGCCAGCACACACGCCAGAGTGTGGGCCTGAGAGAGTGCTGCACCAGCGTCCCACAGGCCTCTTCTGTGGACTCGCAGCGTGCTAGAGTCCCACCTCTAAATGTTTGTGCTGTTTTCCAGTAGTGGCAGTGCAAGGAACACGCCTTCCTCACATGGACCGTTGAGGCCATGACGCACACTGTGGCAGGAGGACGTGTATTTGTAGGTACCTTCTACTTTATGCCTTGCTCTTAAGATTGGGCTTGTATGTTAGAAGGGTGGAATTAGGCTGCCACGTCCAACACACCTCAGCTCGGATTTCATGCTGCCAAGACTTATGATGATACTGACCTGATCACCCAGCTGAGTGTGTGTTGGTTTTTCCACAATATCAAGTTCTGCATTGTGTGTTTTTTTTCCCTTTGCATACATTATCATTTGGAAGAAAGTCACCTTGTTCATCTAAGGAATTAGAGAACTGATGGATTTTAAATTACTTGGTATGAGAAATGTGTCCACTTCATTAATTTTTTCATCCATTTATTTGTATCAGTTTGGACTTGCAGGTATTGATGATTTTAGACCCTGGATTATAGTCCAGAAGCACGTTGAAACTGGTGCAGCTATGACTGTTAGGAACGGATCGCTTCTGTGTCCTTCCTCTTTTAATGGTGCTTTTTGGGCATTCAAACACTTTTATTTATGTCACCTTTCAAACAACTTGGCTAAACAGTTTTCTCTTGTCAAGAGAGAAGGAAACTTGGGGCTGGAGAGTTGGATCCCCGGGTAACAGGACCTGTTGCTCTTTCCAAGGACCGAGGTTCAGTTTTCAGCATCCACATAGCTCATAGCTTTCTGTAACTCCAGTTCCAGGGCGTCTAACAGCTTCCCCTGAAGTCTGCAGGCGATGCACAGACATGGTGCACACACGAGAAAATAAATACACAAATCTAAGAGCTTAGGAGGAGGAGAAGGGGGAACAATCTTGCCAGCTGGAATGGTGATTGCCTGTGATTTCAACACCTGAAAGGCAGAGGCAGGCAGATGAGTTTGAGGCCATCCTGATCTACATAGAGAGTGACAGGCCAGCCAGAGATCATAGTGAGACTCTGTCTCAGGAAGAAAACAAAACAAAAGAAAAAAGGAGGTAAGGAAACTGAGGTAAGGGTAGTGGGTGACTTGTTACTTTCCACAATAAAAAGGAGGACTGAGACCTGTTACTGAAGAGCTCTGCAAACCTCAGGTAGAACCTTTTCCATTAAGGCTTCTGGAGCTTGTGTTATACTCCCTTTTAAGGTAAGGCTTCTGGGGAACTTACACTCCCAGGACCACAATAGAAAATACATGGGAAGAAGTTGCAGCAAACAAAGGCTTGGCCTAAGATTGGCACTTAGGATGAAACAGGATTTGGCCAGATTGATGGAAATGGAATATTAGAATGTTGACCTTCCCTGACTGGGTTTGGGAATAAGGGGTGGGATGGAGTGGGGGTGGATCTGTGTGATTGTGGCAGAAAGTGTCTAGTTCTCAGATCCTGTTGCTGAAGCAGGTTTGTGAGGTGAGAATTTGAGAGTGACATGAAGGTTGCAAACAGAGACGCTAATAGGACTCTGAATCTGAGAATAGCATTTTATAGACACAGTTTCATGATTTAGACCAGCCTCTGGAGAAAAAAAGATCATGGTGGTATGACTCTTGTTTTCACATTCTAATTGGGTGAGAATACCCATCCACCACACCAAAAAATAAAAAAGTCAGTTATAAAGCAGTCTTATCATATCATATGATAGTGTTATCATAGAAGTACAGAGCTAATTGGGAAAGAATGGATGTAGGGGTCACCTTTGTTCAAGGCTGAGCTGGGCCTGAGAGAACAGAATGTACAAGGACGGGAGAATTGAGGGACATGAAGGGCCTCTCCCTCTATGCTTCCTATGGAGTCCTAGGCAAGGTTAAGCAGGATTTGGAGCTGAATGTGTAAATTGGGGCCCCCCTCCCCCAGAGGAGTTTATTGGTAGGGTATGGGCACTTGTACCGTGGTGTGTGTCGAGGTCAGAGAAGAACTTGCTTGAGTCAGTTCCTTCCATCATGTGGGTTTAAGTCGGGTGGTCCAGGCTTAGTGAGGGGTGCCTTTACCCACTGAGCCATCTCAAAGCCTTGCCTCATGGATTTTGAAGCAAGAGAGTAACAGAATGAGACTCATATCAAAGGCCATCCTTCAGAACCCTGTGAGAGAAGGGCCACCTTGATGGCTATTGTTGGTCATCAATTTGACAATATCTGGGATGAACTACGATCCAGAAATGGAGGGCACACCTGTGAGAGATTTTCTGTTCTGCTTGTAGTGGCTTAATCTGCTTCTAGTGCAGACCTTTGAGATAGGAAGACACAAACCTTCCATCCAGATTTTAAGGCTGGAAGACACAGGCCTTTAATTTGGATCTTGAGGTGGGAAGACCTACTTTCAGTATGGTACCCCTTCTTCTGGAAGTCTTTATAAGGACACAGAAGAAGGAAGCTTTTGCTCTTTGCCTGCTTGCTCTGGTCTTGGTGGCACATTCATTCCTTTACTGGCATTGGAGCCTATTTCAGAATTCCAGAAGACCAGCGGAGACACCCAGTCCTGTGGGATTGGGCAACTACTAGATTCTTGGACTTTGCATTCACAGCCATTGTTGGATTAGGTGGACTGCAGCCTGTAAGTCATGCCAGTAAATCCCAGTAAATAAATAGAGAGAGAGAGAGATTCATACCATAAGTTCTGTGATTCTAGAGAATCCTAGTGTAGCACCGCTCATCAAATGTGATGCCTCAGTTACTTTATGTTTCATGTGGAAGGAGGTTTTGCCGGTTAACTGACCCGTGTCATTAATCACAGCCAGAGATGCTAAGGTACATAGTGTCATAGATATCTCGGCTTTGATAAAACTAGTACCTCCCTATTAGCGTGCCGAGGCTCCCTTCCCCCACTGTATGACTAGTCAGAACTCCTCATCCCAGTTACCCATGCTGGATGCTGAATGCCCCAGCTCCCTTTGTGGTTATTTATTTATTTTTGAGAGAGGGCCTCATTGGATCCCTGGCTGACCTAGAACACTTATATAGACCAAGTTGGTTTGGAGCTGAGAGATACCCCTGCTGCTGTCCCTGACCCCAATGCTGGGATTAGAGTTGTGTGCCACTGTGCTGTACCTTCCATTTGTGATCCCTCCCACCAAGGTCTTCCCATCATAATACAGACCAAGTACAGTAGCCTGGGCTGAGGTATACAGGGCTAGATTCACTCTGCCGCCTCTTTCTACACAGACAGAATAAGAAGGCAACCTGTTGATAAGAATGAGTGAGGAAGCCACCATTTTCAATTTCATAAACACTGGTTTATCTGGGTGTGGTGGCAGCAGTTTGGACTCCCCTCCCTTGGGAGGTGAAGAAAGAAGAATAAGAGAGTAAGTTAGCCCTGGCTGCATAGCAAACTTGAGGCTGGCCTGGAGCGGATGAGACCTTGTTGTACAGCAGATCCCCACTACATTTGATGAACCTGCCCTTTCCTGCCTGATAGCTGATTTGTCAGAAATAAATGTTCCCCCATCCCCACCCTAGTTTCTGCTTCAACTGTTTCAGTCATCTTTATTTTGCTTTGGTTGATGCTATAATAGCAGCATTAGCTTTATCCTGCACGTTAAACACGCTGCTGTACCTGTTGAACCTTAGTTTTGTGAACAGCTCAGTAATCCACACCTTTATTTCTTCACGATGGTATGAAAGCCCAGGAAAGTCAAGACTCTAGCCTTGTACTGCTCAACAGGGGGGCTGGGGCTGGGTGAAGATCCAGGTGGCTAACGAGGGCTCTTTGGTTCAGGCTTTCATTGAGTGACTGTAGAGGGTGGTAGATGAGGCTTTGTGTTTCCCATTTCTCTAGTTCATGGCTAGATCCCTTGCTTTTTGCCCTGAAGGTTTCTTAGAGATATCTCCAGGTTAACAGCTGGCTGAAGTTTCCTCCTGGAAGAATTTACTTATTTTAAATTGAGAGATAGGCCTTCAACTGCACCCTGTGAACAATTAAGTGGGGGTCTCACAGGACATAGAGCCTTAAGCTAAATATTCTGGGATGACAGGAAGAAGGGGCTTCTGTTAGGAGGCCCAAGGACATATTTGTGGAGATGTTGGGGGTGATTGAAATAGCTGGGGGCTAGGCCGCAAACCTAGGCTGCAAAACTTGCCTCGCTGGGCACTAGAGTCCACACCTGGGGATTGTCTTCTAGGAGCTCTTTCTGCTTGTGGGAGTTTGAGGAGCAGATAGCAAGCTGGTGGATGTGGCACAAAGAAGCCACAGGTGTAGGGAGAGAAGTTAGTACCTAGAGCAGAAACTGGTGTTAAGTGTGGAGCCAGAGCCCAGATAAATACGTTTTGGAATTGGCTAGGGATTGGAGCTTTAGCCCAAGTGTGTGCCTAGGAGGTGTGGACCTTTACGGTAACACTTCTTGCAGTGATTCTCACAGTCAAGAACTGTGCATGGACTCCACTGTGTTGCCAGGAAGTGCAGTGTTTCTCCCCTCCCCTGCAAGCTTGTTGCAGGTTAAGTGGTTATGAGAGCCTCAGCTTTGTGGGGGAGAGTTGGCAGAGGACAGCGAGTGTCCCCAGTTCTTGTTAGTGCCCGGATACTGCAGGCTTGTTTGTAATTTCTCCCTGCCTCTGTAGAACTGTGGCTGGTTTCTGGCTTACTGGAGGGACTTGGAGATCTGCTGCTCGAGAAGCTGGGGTGTGACTTCAGGCACAAGACAATTGCTATGCAGCAGCCACCTGTGCACTCAGAACACACAGCTGGGAAAGGGAGAAGTGGTCAACTGACTGGTCTAGTCTTGCATTTGTGCCGCTGTGATAAAAGCATTCTGACCACAAGCATCTTGGAGAGGAAAAAACTTATTTCAGCTTACAATTCCAGGTCACAGTCCATCACTGAGGGAGGTCGGAGCAGGATTGCAGAATTTAAAGGAACACAACTTACCACTTCACTGGTTCGTGCTCAGGACTGCCAGCCTCGCCAGCCTAGTGATAGCACTGCTCATGGTGGGCAGCGCCCTCCGAGGCCAGTTAACAATTAAAACAGGGCCCCACAGACAGGCCCACATCTTACTCAGGCATTTCTCCAGCTGCGGTTCCCTGTTTCAGGTGCCTGTGTCAGATTGCCCATAGAAAACAAGATCTGGACTGCTCACTTCTGACGACTTTGCCTGGAACCAGGAGCGGAGGGGAGGATAAAGGTTTCATGTTATTGTACAGACCTGTGGAGATGATCAGAAAGAATGAGGTCAAGAAATATACGATACAGTGATAGGGGAACATGGTACATAGGAAAAGTATTTTTAGCATCTCTGCACAGACATGCACCTGTAATCCCAGTATTCAGGAGGTAAAGGAAGAGCCATAGAGTTCAAGGCCAGCCTGAGCTGCTTAGTCCTGAGACTGCCTCATCAAACAAAACACTAGATTTTGTGGAGGGCAATTCGCAGAATAGGTGTGTAGTGTGACAGAAAGGGGTGTAGTCTGCTTTGCCCTCTTTTTCTCCTCTCTCTCCCCTTGTCTCCCCTTCCATCTCTCTCTTTCTGCCCCCAACGGCATTTTTTTCTCTTAATTCTGCAAGCTTGAGAAGCCTCCATCACTAAAAAAGCAAGAAGTGCTGACAGGAATGCTTCATTTTGGCTTGTGGCAGTTAAGGCTAGGGTGCTCAGCCAAATCTGAAGAGTACACGCCCCTCCACTCAGTTTCCCAAGCCTTCTGTGTAGACAAGGTCATCTGGGTGCTGACCGGAGGAGCCGGTCTCAGGCCCCATTTGACAGTGTGCTGGGGTAAGAAAAGTGGAATGGATTGGGCCAAAGTTTGGGCACCTGGACTTCTTCCCACTCCCATGTGCTTTGGTGTAGTAGTTAACAGGGCCAACCCTCAGTTTCCTCAGAAGAGTATCCAGAGTGTGAAACCACCTTGGTTATTGGATTTTAGAACCTGAACTTTGAGCCTGGATTGTTCAAGTGTTTGAGTTTCTATCTCTGGTCTTACCTCTCATGTGTTCAAGATGAGTCTTTGTAGCCAGGCAGTGGGGTTGGACTGTCAAGTCATATTGACTCAGAAACGAAAGAATCTGTAGTTAACAGTGGCTTTGGCTGTTCTGAGCCCACACATTCTTTCAAGATTTAGGCAAGGTTTTAGGTCTCTGCTTTCAGCAGTTCTGGTAGTTACCCTTTTAGTGTAACAGAAAAACATAACCTTTGTTTCCCCAAATTTTTTTCTTGTATAGTTTTGTGAAACCATTTCAATATAAATTGTAGTTATGAAGCTCTAAATATTGTAGCATCTATTGCTGAAAAGCAGAGTCTCAGTGGGTGCCATTAAGATTATCTGCACTTAAGTTTTTCTTAATAATCGCTGAAGTATTGTTATAACTGCCTTTTAAGGTCAGAGTCCAGGCTACAAGTATCTTTTGCATTTGCTTATTACTGTGATTTTTTTTTAGTTTTATTGCTCTCTCTCTCTCTCTCTCTCTCTCTCTCTCTCTCTCTCTCTCTGTGCACAACTTACATTAATTGGTTTTCTCCTGCCATATGGGTCCTAGGAATCAAATTCAAGTTGTCAGGCTTGGCAGCAGGTTCTAGTACCCCAGGCCATCTCACTATCCCTGCCCTAGCGTTTTTTTAAGACCGATTGGTCTGTGGATGCCCCAGATTCTGAGTTTGTCTAATGGTTTCCTCAAGGTGTGGTTTAACTTGGTGCTTAACAGGACCTTCTGTGTGATAACTTAGTAGTGTTTATTTTATTGGTTTAAATTTTAAAATTGTTTCTCATAAGGTGGAAGTTAAATCTAAAGGCTTCATTAAGTTCAATCAAATCAAACATTTTTTGCAAGAAAATTTCATAGGTGATAGTGTTTGTTTTTTAACTATTTCTTTTGGCGGGGAGGGGTCATATGTTTCCTGCAAGTTTGTGTGCCTCATGTCTGAAGATGCCACAAGAGGTCGTCACTCCCCTGAACTGGAGTTGTAGACAGTTGTGTGCTGGGAATTGAACCTGGGTCCTCTGGAAGAGCAGCAAGTGCTCTTCACTGCTGGGCCATCTCTCCAGCCCCAGATGATGGTGCTTAACTCATGGTTCCTCATCAGGAAACCTGTGCCAGATTGGCTGGCTTGGTTACTTGGCTGAGGTGACCACTGGATCTCTCCCTCATCAAGGCACATTAAGAAATAATCTACTTGGGCATTGTGGGCCCAGACCTTCCCCTGATGGCCTTGGGCATTGTGGGCCCTGCCTGGACCTTTCCCTTGATGGCCTTGGCACCTATTGGTGATGTAGTGTTGTTACAGTGGCAATTGCAGAGTGCCTGTGTTTTCTCCTGACTCCCCTGAGCCTTAGAGTCTCACTAATTCTAAACAGAATGTTAGTCAAGTGCTCTGTTAGCTTTGCCTTAGTATCTAATTCTGTTAAACCTTCTCTGGTATTAGCCCGTGATCTTCCATCAGCCTTGCATTGTTAACTATAATGTACATGGTAGTTTTTATTCAGCTTGGAATGTAAGGACCCACCAGACCCAGCATGAGCTGGTTTACCGTGGGTTCTTAGTGGTAACGGTGTGCTAGTTTATGTGAAAAAGGAATTGTAGCTGAGCTCTATCATAGAAAAGCACAAATTCTGTCCTTAGAGCTAATCCCTTCTCTCTCCAGCAAACAAACGAAAACAACAGAAAGCTGGCCTGGCTTTTAAACCTTCCAGGCCATTCTGCGAGTGGCTAGAAAGGGCTTCTGGCCCACAGGCACCCCACAGTTTCATTTCCTTTCTGTTTTCAAACTCTGCAGTATGTTAAACTGAGAACATTGGGTCAGCCCCTTTGCTCAAGAGCAAACCAAGGAATTAGATCAGACACCCTTAACATTTCTACCAACATTCGGGGGACTTGATGCTTCCTCACTTGCTGCTTGAATTTCATTTCAAGTTGTTATGTACATTTTTTTTTTTTTTATTGATACATACTTTTAAACTCGCACGTGTCTAAGCCCAGGGGTGTTTTGGTCAAAGTCTCCTTTGACCAAAAGCATAGTTCCTCAAGTCTGTATAGTGCTGTCCCCTGCAGAGCAGTTTTATCTGTTATCACATCACATCCTTAAGGAATCAGCGTTGTGTTTTTCTCCTTGGGCTGCAGCTTTCTGTCCATGTCAACGTTAGCTGAGTCCACTGAGCTCTGTTAGTGGCCCCATTGTACCCGTCAATGACAGTGCTGCTGTTCCAGCATTGACCTTCCCTGCCCAGGCAGGGCGTTGTATACTGGAAGGTGGCAGGACCCTGCATTCTTGATGCCACTTTCAGTTTTAGCTCTTAGATTTTATCCATTGGACTGAGGAGCCAGGGGTCTGGGTTCTGTCCTAGATTTCCTGCTATGAATTAGGCTTATGCTTACTGTTTCCAACAGAACTTTTTCATGTAAGCTGCTTAGAATCCTCTGTAGGCCTGCCTTTCTCTCTTTCTCTGTCTCTCTCCCTCTCCCTCCCTCTCTCCATTTTATGGATGGACAAACTGAAGCTCAAAGTATTTATGTGGCTTTTCTGTTGCTGCAAGGGCAGGAAGAGGGCTGTAGCTATAGCTGACAGAAATAGCTTTTCTTGGCTGAGCTTCTGTGTCCCTAGAAGGGCCATGCCTGCACAGCCCAGGACAGCAAAGTCCTCCTTCCTAGCTGTGCTCTTAGCTTGAACAGGCTCGGGCAGTGGTGCCACTCTTCTCCTTTTGCTGAGTCTACTCCTGATTTCAGGTCTGGTCCCTGAGGAAGAAGAAAACCCTTACTAAGGAACAGAGACCCCCAAGGCTAAGGCCAGGATGGCAGCATCAGCCCCCTTAAGGACCCTGGAGGAGGAGGTGACCTGCTCCATCTGCCTGGATTACCTGCGGGACCCAGTGACCATTGACTGTGGCCATGTCTTCTGCCGCAGCTGCACAAGTGATATCCGCCCCATTTCGGGGAGCCGCCCCGTCTGCCCACTCTGCAAGAAGCCCTTTAAGAAGGAGAACATCCGGCCTGTGTGGCAGTTGGCCAGTCTGGTAGAGAATATTGAGCGGCTGAAGGTGGACAATGGCAGGCAGCCGGGGGAGCTGGCCAGAGAGCCACAGGACACGAAGCTGTGCGAGCGGCACCAGGAGAAGCTGCACTACTACTGTGAGGACGATGGCAAGCTGCTGTGCGTGATGTGCCGGGAGTCCCGGGAGCACCGCCCGCACACTGCCGTGCTGGTAGAGAAGGCCGCCCTGCCTCACCGGGTACGTCCTCCCAGGGCTGGAAGAGAGGGTCTGTCTGGGGTCCTCGCTGCCACAGCTCCTCATCTCTCTCCACTGCTTGTCTTTCCCCAGGAAAAAATTCTGAACCACCTGAACACCCTAAGGAGAGACAGAGAAAAAATCCAGGGCTTTCAGGCCAAGGGAGAAGCCGATATTTTGGATGCACTGGTGCGTTGCAGGTCGAGAGCTGGGAGGGCCGCACGGTCTGGGGAGGGGCGCAGAGGGGAGGCGTCTAGGAGAGCTTTGACAGTGTGCTTGCTAGGCTGGCTACAGGCCAACTGGGGCTCACTGGACGATAGGGCAGTGAGGAACTTGACTTTGTGCCCTCTCTGGTAAGAGTGAGGGAAGATCTGACTTCCTGGGTAGAGGGCGGCTGGGTGTGGGTGTGGGTGCTAGCTTCAGAATAGAGAGCAGGAAGAAGGGGACAGGGAGGGCCTGAGCAGCCCTGATTGAAGCTGTGTAGTGAGACTCAGGCCCGCTCTGGGCAGGGTGGAAGACTGGCAGCACATTGTGTACTCTCAGATAGGTCAGGAGGGACAGCTGACGAGGCCGGCCCAGTTCAGGGAATGTGTGTTGGGAAAGTGGGCAGTGGAGCGATTCTGGGGTCAGGCCTAGCAGTGTGCAGCCAGGTTGTGAGAGATAATGTAAAGCTGGAGAGAGCTCAGGTTCACGGAGGGCTGTCTAGCTCCTGCTGTAGGAGGCACCCTCGCTTACCGAGAGGACCGAGGACTCAGGTGGTTCCAGCCTTCAGAACAGGATAGGGTCCCTGAGTACTCACGTTCCGGCCTCACTGAGGAAGGAGGGCACAGACCCGCTTGGAAGGGATGGTACACTCAATTTACAGAGTAGTTGGGGTCCTGAAGGGAGGACTGGTTGAGCTTGGACTTTATCCCTCAAGCAGAGCTTCCTGAAGGCGATAACACAGATGTTATCTAGAAGGGTGACGTGTCAGTGGGATGCATGGGCTATCTTACGTTGCTCCCAGAGTCACCAGATGATCGAGCGGGTCCTGGTTCCTAGAGGGTCACACAAACACACTGTGCCCCCTCTGCCCTGCCCTTACAGACGAAGCTGCAGGAGCAGAGGCAGTACATTGTGGCGGAATTTAAGCAGGGCCACCAGTTTCTAAAGAAGCGGGAGCAGCACCTGCTAGACCAGCTGGCCACCCTGGAGCAGCTGCTCAATGAGGGCCGGGAGAAGTTCAAGACCCGGGGTGTCAGCGAGCTTGGCCGCTTGGCTCTGGTCATCTCCGAGCTTGAAGGCAAAGCACGGCAGCCAGCTGCAGAACTAATGCAGGTACGAGGCCAAGGGGCCCGGGGGAAGCCAGGGTGGGGCCTGGCCTACCACTCTTACATGGCCTTTGAAGAAATTCCTTCTGGGCTCTCAGTTTTACTGTCTAAAATATGAGCATGATAGTTTCATCCTCCTCGTTTACTCCAGAGTCCTCATAAGCTTAGACGTCTTTAGAAAAACAATCATCTATAAAAAGTGTCTAAAGAACTTAAAAGTGCCGGAGAACTAAAGGTCACTGTTGTTGACCTCCTTCCTTCAGCATGAGCCCTCCATCGAGCCCTCCTTGTAATAAGGCAGATATTTGTTGTTTTTGAGACAGTCTTACTATGATATACCATTTATCCTCAAATATAAGGCAGACTCACCTCAGCCCTCTGAGTGCCGGGGTTATAGGTGTGTGCCCCCTATGCCTGGCTAAGGTGGGTTCTTACAGGGTAGGTGCCTCATATTGTTCTAGGGATGAAGACAGGTGATGAGAAACAGCTAGGCTGTGGCTGTCAGGGTCCCAAGGCACATGGAAGGGGAGGGCAAGTGAAGAAGGAAAAGAGATGCGAGGCTCCCTCTGGACTATGGAGCAACAGTCTGGAGAACAGTGACAAGTGAGAGATGCTCAGGACACAAGAGGGAGAGCAGGCCGTCTTCTTCCTAGTACTTTCCAGAGTCATCATCCCCCTTAGCATTCTACCGAAGAGGGGAAGGCTGGGCCTTCCCTCCTTACAAGCCGGGAGAAGGGATGTCTGCTAGTTTCCTCCGTGGTTTGAGGTAACGAACCTTCCTGCCAGAGGACACACAAAGGTCTTTAGGAAATGGGGTTCCAGAGTAGTGGCAGGACACTTCAGTAACCAGGAGGGAAGGAACAGTGATGCCAATCCCTAGCATGGACTGCATCACCAGGAGGCCTCACTCTGCAGCAGACTGAGCCACATGAAAAAAGACTGGCTGGCGTAGACCCTGGGGCGGTTTAGGAATGAGGCCCAACTCAAACCTGGTGTCCTACTCCCAGGCTTTGTATGCTTGTCTTTTGTCCAGTGTCCCCCTGCCCCTTTCCTCTGCGCTAGGCAGACTCTGGGTCGCTTGTTTCCTCTCCCTTGTCCCCTTCAAAGAGCACATCCGAATTTCCCAGCAGCCCTTCTGTGTGTGGTTGTGTAGATATGAGTTATGAGTGGAACAGCTGATAGTGCCAGAGTTTGTCAACCAGTGTCTGTCTAGAGAGTATTTTCCCCTGATTCACCCTGGGAGTAGCTACTATGCACAGGCCCCAGTCTGTACCTCAGAGCTCTGCCCCTGAAGCTCCCCTGATGGAGTGCTTAGGAGAGTAAATCTGCTTAAAACCACTCCACAAAATGCTGTTGTTGATAGGTTTTGTATTTTCTGGAGCAAAGCGCCCGAATCTTCTGGAACAGTCCTTAGCAGCCACAGTTTGATGATTGCATGTGCTTTCCACATTGTCCCTCCCTGAGAAGCCAGCCTGCCCTGCCCGCCCTCTTCACCCTGCTGACGTCCGTAGTGCTGGTGTTCACTTGCTAACGTGGTGTGATGTTGCATTTTATGTTGGTTTTTCTCTCTCTTGTCTGCTTCCCTTTGCTAGGATGCCTGCTCTACACAGGTAGGGATTTCTTTTTTCATGGCTACCTCTAGTTTCTAGATCAGTGCCTGCCTGGTCAAGGAGTCACTTAGCAGTGGTTTGTGGAATGCGTGAAAGGAAACTGAAAGTCAGCGCAGAGAACTGTGAAGGCTTCGTACTCCCCAAAGCTTCATTGCACAATATGCCCCACCCTGTCTGTCCTTCCTCTTGTCTTCCTGCCATACAGTTACACCACTGTTCCTCCTGCACAAGGCGCCTATCCTCAGTGATCCTTGGCCACCATATCAGCTTGTGTTGCTCTGAAACTGTCCAGAAATGCTCAGCTTCTCTCTTCTGCCCCCTGCTGCCGTCCATGGCAGCTTCCAGGACGACCTCCCCTGTTCCATTGACTCCAGCCACCCTGGGCCAAGGAGCCGCCGAGTGACTGGTCACCTAGGTTTTGCTCGGTAGCTCATATAGAGCAGACATTTTTTCTGTCTTTATAGCAGTTCAGAGGTGAGGGTCTAGAGACATCCGTGAGATCATCCAGGAGCTGGCTTATTTTTAGCTATCTAGTCTTGGGGATATTGTTCTCAGCCATGAGATTTGAGTTGAACTCATCACTGTTCAAAATTCAGCTAATTAGAAAATAATTAGAAAGCTTTTTTTTTTAAAGGACAAGAGTGAGAAGTATTGATTTTTTTCCCCCTACATCCCCATTGGCGTTTAGTCACATGACCAGACATGATGGTAGGGAATGTGGGAAATGTAGTTCCTTGGCTGGTCACATGTCAGGCCAGAACTCACGAAGTTTAGTATTATGAAGAAGGGGAGAAAGCAGTTAAGGTGGCTCAGCAGGCAAAGGTTCCTGCCACCAAGCCTGACCACCTGAGTTCAGTCCACAGAACCCGCCTGGTGGCAGGAGAGAACCAACTCCTGCAGGTTGTCCTTTGACCTCCACGTACATTGCGGTACACCACACATGCACACCCACCCACACACATTTACAAGTGGGTGGGGGAGAATCGGTGTTGGGGGATTGCCTTTTACTTGCTTGTGTGTGGAATAAAATTCACCACCCATTCTGCCTGTTGTGATCTGGCCCTGCGCTGTTCTAAGCCTTTCCCATCCCTTATCATACACTCGGCTAGTGCTTTCTCATTATTCAAACCTTAGCTTAAGCGTCTCCTTGACTTGAGCGGCCAAGTCATTGTCACCTCTAGTTATTTCTGCCCTTATGCTATTTATTTATTTTTTTATTTTATTTTATGTGTGGGTAGGTTCACCTGAATGTATGTCTGCATACCACTTGCATGCTTGGTAGAAGCCAGAAGGCATTGGGTTTCCTGGAACTGGAGTTGTGGATGGTAGTGAGCTGCCACGTAAGTGCTAGGAATCAAACCTGGGTCGGCTGGAAGAGCAACCAGTGCTCGTAACCACTAAGCCATCTCTCCAGCCCATTGCTTGTTTTCTGTTTTATCTGATGCCCCACTAGACTGTTAGTTCTAGGGAAGGAAGCCATGTATGCTGTTTGCTCTCGTGTACCTGCCTGTTAATATGGTTTTGACTGTGAATGCAGTTTTAATTCACTTTGGTACTTGTGTTTTCTTCCCTTGCAGGACACCAAGGACTTTGCCAACAGGTAAAAGTTTCATTTGCTCATTGTTATTCATTCCTATCCCCCTCCCCCTTCCATGTAAGCAGTGGGAAGTGATAGAGTGCCAAAGGCACAGCAACCCTTGTTTCATCCCGCAGCTTTTAAGAAAGAGGTCGATCTTTGCGGATTAGAGACTGCTCTCTCCCAGCATAATCTCTGAGGTCCAGCTAGGCTCACTGTCTTGCACAGTGAGAGAGTGAAAGCCTGGCTTGCCAGACAGAGTGCCCACTTGAAGAATCTGCTGGCAGTCTTGTCTTAGTTCAGGTAGTATCTTTGGCCAGTTTTTTGTCCTTGATTAGGGATAATCAGATCTGTCCTGCACAAACACTGGCAGAAAAGCAAGAAGAGCCAAATGGCAGGTTGTTGTGTCCATCGCTTTTTCAGGTACCCACGGAAGAAGTTCTGGATTGGAAAAGCCATCCCTCACATGGTTAAAAGAAAGGCAGGAGAATTCTCAGATAAACTTCTTTCTCTGCAGCGAGGCCTGAGGCAGTTCCAGGGTAAGCACCAGGGAAGGGGCCAGGCTAGAGGTCAGGCTGGGCCACACTTGGAGGTTCCTGGCTCTTCGCCACCATATACTCCCATCTTACTTTTCCCAGGAGCTCTGGCTTCTGAGTCTTTGTATCTTTCCTCCTTGGGGTATCCAGTAGAGCCCTGTCCCAGAATTAATACCAAGAAAGAACTGGGCTCATAAGTTTGCAGAAAGTCATTTCTATCTTTCTTTCCTTCATTAGGCAAGCTGCTGAGAGACTTGGAGTATAAGACAGGTGAGAGAACAAAAGGTGGCTCCCACTTTTCCTCAGAAAGAAAAGCCCCCTGTGGAATCCTCACTGCTATTGCCCAAAGCAAGCCCCAACCCCTTACATTTCAGATTAGTCTCCTGTGTAGTCTGCAGCACTGATGAGACTTTGATGCCACAGGTCACAGCTCTAATCCTTTTTCTCATCTTCCTGACCACAGTAAGGTCCTCCTTTCAGAGCAGACAGCTCTGAAACAGAGCGGACAGTGGCAGCCCAAGGCCAGAGGTCACCCTACCCAGACGTGTGCTGTGTGTACTGAGTCCCTGCAGGAGACACAGGTCACAGAGACCATGGTGTAAATAGCGTTCTTTGAACTGTGCAGTGAGGCAGCACTGACACTGTGGAGACTCGTCTCCCCTTTGCAGGCCACCACTGACACTTACTTCCTCCCTTGTCCCACAGTGAGTGTCACCCTGGACCCACAGTCGGCCAGCGGGTACCTGCAGCTCTCAGAGGACTGGAAGTGTGTGACCTATACCAGCCAGTACCAGAGTGACTGCCTGCACCCCCAGCAGTTTGACTGTGAGCCAGGGGTGTTGGGCAGCAAGGGCTTCACCTGGGGCAAGGTATACTGGGAGGTGGAGTTGGAGAGGGAAGGCTGGTCAGAGGATGAGGAGGAGGGAGAGGAGGAAGAAGAAGGGGAAGAGGAGGAAGATGATGATGAGGCTGGCTATGAGGATGGATATGAAGACTGGGAAACAGATGAGGATGAGGAATCCCTAGGGGAGGAAGAGGAGGAGGAAGAGGAAGAAGACGAAGAAGTTCTGGAAAGTTGCATGGTGGGAGTGGCTAAAGACTCTGTGAAGAGGAAAGGGGACCTGTCCCTGCGGCCAGAGGATGGTGTGTGGGCCCTTCGGCTCTCCCCCTCAGGCATCTGGGCCAACACAAGCCCCGAGGCCCAGCTCTTCCCAGTGCTAAGGCCCCGGAGAGTGGGCATCGCCCTGGATTATGAAGGGGGCACTGTGACCTTCACCAATGCAGAGTCACAGGAACTCATCTACACCTTCTCAGCCACCTTCAGCCGGCGCCTGGTTCCTTTCCTGTGGCTCAAGTGGCCAGGAACACGCCTTCTACTAAGACCCTGAGTTCTAGAACCTGCCTGGGCCACACTATGGAAATTTTACTTTTCTGAGATTCCAGGACTCTGTGATGAAGAAGTGTTGCCTGGATCCACGTCCATGGAAACTTCCCTTGCTGGGATCCCAAGACTATCTGATGGAGGCAGGTTCTTGGCCAGAGCACCAGGAGGAGAAGGGAGGAGGGACGTCGCATCTGCTGCCACCCATCTCCCCACTGCTATGGCCAAGATATCTCTTAGCACTGTCACTCTATTTCTTGTTCCAGCTTCTCACCCTCCTGACCGTTTCCTCTGGGGTCTCCTGCTCTGAAGACCAATTGACTCCCTCCTTCCTGAGCATTCCTTTATGTTGGCTCTGTGCTCTTCAGTTGAACAAACAGGGCAGCAACATTTCCTGGTTCAGTTGTTATCCAGTGCCCACGGGAAGACCTTTGCTGACATCTGAAGCCATTTTGCTGTCCCCAGATTGGAGGTTCACCTTGCCCAAAACCACTCTGTCTCCTACCTTTCCTGGCCTCTTAAACTTACTTTTCCTACCCTATCAGAGTTAAGTACCTAAAGATCCAGAGATGGACATAGACCTGCTGAAGTTTGTGTCCTGGGGTACTGGTGGGACCTCCTGGTGTGGCTAGCAAAGCTCATGGTCTCCAATCCTGGATCTGAGGAGGTGGGACTCCCAGGTCCATCTGTATCTCAGAAAGCATCTAGGTACTGTGGCTCAGGTAGCAGTTGTGGTCAATAAATTACCTCTGCAGAGTAGTCCTTGTGAAGGGAGTTTTTAAAACAGGCCCAACATCTTGCTCTTGATCCGTGGATCTAAAAACACTGAGGTCAGGACAGTCCCTGCCTTGGGGTATATGGCTGGTGTACTCAGGACAGCTTCAGGCCTCTTGCTGGCCCTGTGGAGGTGGATTGGGGAAGGGAAGACAGGGCCATGAGGGATCACCAGCCCCTGCTTAGTCGAAACAACACCCTTCTTTTTATCCTTAAAAATTCCCAGTGTCCTCTGCCTCTGCGAGTGTTAGCTCCTCTCTGCTCTTGAGAGACTGCTTCCAGACACTGGAGTTACCACACTGTCTCAAGACGTGCTGCCTAAGTCACTAGTACACACACACACAGTGGCGCCCTTACCCTTTGTTTTTCCTAGAGTTAATCATCTCTCCCTTCTCCTGAACTTCATTTCCTGTGACTTTACTACCAAATAAACTACAACTTCTTTCAGTGGTCAGAAATCTCAAGACAGTCATCTGGTGCTGTCTCCATTTTTATCTTGATGCTTTCTCAAGTGACCTTGAACCTGAGCCATTGATTGCTCCCTCTGTGCATAGCTTTTTAAGTCCTCTTTTGTCATCAGACTGGGGTTCTGGGTTCTGCATCCCCTCTCAAGGCTTGTAGCCCAGGCTAGCCTCAGTTTAATTAGACGGCTGAAGATGACCTTAAACTTTCTGCCTCTAACCTTCCAAGGTCTGAGATTTCAGATGGCACCATTACACCTGGTTTATATGGTGCTGGCGCTGAACCAGGGTCTCACACATCCTAGGCCAGCATTCTAGGGAACCTCAGCGACATCCCCAGTCCTGGTCCTATTTCTGGACCCTGTGTTTACTAATTTATGGTGGTTTGGTCACACATCATCTAATAACTTCCTGAGGTGGGTGTGGAAGTTGATTTTTTTTTTTTTTTTTTTTTTTCAAGATAGGGTTTTTCTGTGTAGCCTTGGCTATCCTGGACTCATTTTATCTACCAGGCTGGCCTCAGGCTCATAGAGATCCACCTGCCTCTGCCTCTCTGAGTGCTGGGATTACTGGTCTGTAACGCTGTGCCCAGCTTTCAAAGCTGGATTTTTAAAATCTTCAGTATCTGGAAATGTTTATCTCACTTATACACTTAAGGGATTCTGCAAAAGTTTTCCTTCAGGATCTTAGGATTTCTGTACTGCCTTAAACTCCTGATGTTCGGAATTCCCATGGTTGCACTCTGCCTCACGATCTTTCTCAGTAGCCTGTTTCTGTTTTACAGGGGACTTTGGGAGTCTTACCTGTACCATTACTTCATGTACTAGCCCGTTTGAACACACACACACACAGACACGTAACATGAAATTAAGGGAATGGATAGGATCTCACTATGTAGACATGGTTGGCTTTTGGCTCCCTGAGTGAGATTTAAAGGCTTATGCTGCCACACCTAGTGTGAGAAAGAAAAAAACTTTAAAACTACCTGAGGCAGCCTAGAAAAAGTTTTATTTTGGCTCGTGCTTCATGGTGCCTCCATGGCCAGTGAACTCAGTGCTTTCAGCTTCTGTCCTAGCAACATAGATCCTGGCAGGTGTGCTTGACAGATCAAAGGCACACATCTTGCCAGCCAGAGAACAGTGAACCAGACCCCATGGTCCTCTTCCAGAGTGTACCCTCGTGACATTCCACCCTTTGAACCAGTCCTTTAACACCATTTAGAAGCCTTGAACATTGAAACTGTAGAATCTTGCCTGTCCTGGCTCCAGGTTGTCACAATAGACAGATAGACACAAAACACAAAAGCCTGTGGGTCACTTTATTAGAACATTCTCTTAAAACCTAGAGCGATGACCTGAAGGTCCTTTGTGGTCCATCCAGAGTTGATGATGAGGCCCCAAAGCATCTTGATCTTTGTGTATAAAAGTCGGTATAAATTAGTGCAGGCCAAACAGTCCTGGTTTTCCTACAGCAATCTTTTTGAAGCTTTTGTATTTTATTTTTCCTTTCCAAATCCCATCGGGCTCATAGCTTTGCTGGTGTCTAGGGTGTAGCCTTCCTTCTCTGGTTTTGGCTCTCCATTCAGCGGGATCACTGTGTCTAGGAACTGTGTGCAGGGAGCTGAAGGTACTCGACACTTAAAAGCTGCTGTACAGGATTCCAGGACGCTTAACTTTCAGTCTCATTTTTGAATGCTGGAGACAGCTGGGTTCCAGGGTGCTGGTGGCTCAGCCACACTACCCAGGCTCCACCACAGTCTTTCAAAGTTGGTCAGGAATTTGCTTTCCAGTGGGCTGTTGATGGAGACCAAGGTGGTAATTGATGCCCTTGTATGGGACCTCCGCAGGGTCTTACACCCTGCCTGCTAGCCCAGGGTCATGTCTACACTGCACAGGACAGCTGTGTCCCCTGGGGTGGGACAGATGACTGCTGGTCAGCTGGAATAACACTATCGTGGCCCAGACGCTGTTCTCAGTGCTCAGATCCTGCTCACCCTCACCCTCGCCACCTCTGAGGGCCATTCCATGTTGCAGCCACCACTCAAGTGGACATTATGTCTTTGGAGAGGCCCAGGCTCGGGTTTGTGGTCTTGAGTGTCCGGAATGAACCCTTTCCCGCTACTTCTAGGACAGAGCCCCATCCGGTGCTGCCTGCTTCTCAGTCCTGTTTCTGGGGGACAGAAGGGACGGTTCTGCCTGAGGATTTGCTTCTTAAAGTGAGGTGGCCAGGCCAGCAGCAGCAGCGCAGTACCTAGGAGCTTGTTAAGAAACATACAGTCTTGGGGCCCGCCCTAGACTGCCCAAACATCAGCCTTCATTTTAACCAGCTGTCTGGATGACATTTCTATAGATGTTAACGAAGTAGAGAACAATGCAAGAACAGGCAGGTGCTTTGGAAACAAGCTCTGATTTGAAGGAAAATGATATTTTTACTCTTTTTCTCTCCCTGTCCCTTTGTGGTACTAGAGCTTTATGCATGCTAGACAAGTAAGCTCTAGCAGAAAGCTGTACATCCCTAGGACCAAGCCCCCCAGCCCACCCCAGCAAGGGTCTTTGTAGCTGAGGCTGGCCTGGAACTAACTGTTGTAGCCCAGGCTTACCTCAAACTTGTGGCAGTCTGACTGCTTCTACCACTCAAGTACTGAAATTGTAGCTGTGTGCCACGGTGCCCAGCTTGTTTTTAAATAATACACTATTTGTTAAAATCTACAGAGACTCTAGCATAATTCTGGGCAAAGGTCAGGATTGTAATACATATTTTGAATGCATATCTATACAGGTAACTGACAACATTCATCAGTTAGGTACTGTGCTAAGCCCTTTGCATACATTAATTAATCTCCACATGGATGCATAGTGTAGGTTCTGTTTTTGTTTACATTTTATGGTGAGGCAGTGTTGGGGAGAAAAGGTTTAATGATAGACCCAAGACCCCAAGCCATTAGGGTCCGAGCGGGCGCATTTCATTGTTTGGGTGATTTCGATAAATGGAGAAAAGCCCCCCCAGAGCCCTTGCTGATTACCTGACTGTTTCCAGATGATGCATCAAGTTTTCTGAGGAAAGCAGAAACAGAAAGATCTGTGAGACTTACATCTCCTCTAGATATTCCCAGGGGGAAGGTGTCCTGACTACAGTGTGACGGGGAGAGAAGACTCTTAAGAGTAACGTGTCACCTTCCTGGACACGCAGTCTGGTGCCTCTACCCTTGGGCAGAGGAGGTCACCATCGGGGGATTGCTCCCTGAGGGAGATCTGTGGAAAGGCCTGGAGGGGAGGTGCTTAACCCAGGCTGTTGGCTTATTTTTGTTTAGGTGTCACTGTGTAGTCCAGGCTGACCTGAAACTTGAGGCCCTCCTCCCTCGGTCTCCCTGGTGCTGGCATAACGGGCATGCACCACTTCTTGGTGGTTTGAAGTTGGGGAAAGATGGAGGCAGGTGGAAGGTAGAACATCTAATAGGATCTGGAGCCTCTTTACCTGAGAATGTCCTCAGCATTGTTGGGAGGCAAAGGATTTTTCTGTGGAGGTTTCGAATCTCCTTGACAAGCTCAGAGGAAATGGCCTCTGGACTCACAAAAGTCTTCGTCTCATACCTGCAGACAAGTTGGAAATCAAACTTAAACTCCAAAAATAAAGTACTTCATTATATCCATGCATGTGTGTGTGTTGAGTGTGTGGCTTCCCCAAGAGGTCAGGAGTGTGCCAGATGCCTTAGAGCTGGAGTTAAAACATGGCTGGGAACCGCTTGCTCTGGGTGCTAGGAATCCAACTATAGACTTGGAAAGGCAGCAGTCATTTTAAAACCATTTTTAGCCATCTCTCTAGCCCCCAAAAGTAATGCTTGGGAGATACGGGTCAAAAACAGACTGAAGGATCATCTTAGTATCTTGTGAAAATTAGATTCAGCATAATTTACCTTCTCTAAGTAAGAATGGTTCCCAAAGCAATAGACTTTTCATTGGACGTGGGGAACTAATTTAACCACCTCTTGAGAATTGGAGCTTGGGTCTTTTCCAGCAGGAAGGGGCAGACCTCTAGAGGGAAATGTGATTGAAAATCAGCCCTACACTGTTCTTTCTATATGTGGGCCAGTTTGTACAATAGGAAAACGTCTAGGTAGGAAGGGGGTTCTGGTCCCTTTGCAGTCCTTATGGCTGTGTGGCTTCACATTAGCCCTTCTCTCAGCTTCCCCATCACATTATGAGACCCACCACACCTTTCTTGACCTTTTGGAGACGGTTTCTCTGTGTAGCCTTGGCCATCCTAGAACTCACTCTGTAGAATAGCCTGGCCTTGAACTCAGATCCACCTGCCTCTGCCTCCCGTACTGGGATTAAAGCATGCACCATCACCCAGTTGACTTCAGTATTTTCAAACACTAAAATACTAGTATATTTCATGGTTTAAAAATATTTTGGGGAGCTGGTCATGCCAAACACTAGAGTTTGGTACCCAGCGTCTACACGGTGGGTGTAATTCCAGTTCCAGGGCATCTGCCAGCCTCTTCTAGTTTCTTCTGGTACCAGG